TAAACTAAACGACAAGATGCTTTCTGTCCTGACACGATGGCCTTGGCTTCTGATTTCAAGGCTGTGGGACCCTCTGAGTTCTGAGCTACGGAAGCTGTCAGAGCTGAGGAACTGAGGCCTGAGAGAGGTAGTGACTGGGCCAAGGTCACACAGGTAGGGGCCAGAACTGGGCCAGAAAGCCAGGGTTCCAGAGCCCCAAGGCCTTTGCTCTGCAAGTCTCATCTTCTCCAGACAGCCGGGCTTTGGTTTCTGTCCTTTCTCAGGAAGTGGGACAAAGGAACCACAAGCCAAGAAGCTGTCAGGGCTGGTCCCAAACCCCAGGAGGCTGGGAACCAAAAGTCCACACCCATGTAAACATAGGCCAGCGCTGATACCTCTTACCTGGCGCTCGGAAACTTCCTCCAAATCTGGTCTCAGCGATTATCTTGCTTATCTGTGCAGGTCCCCTGGGAGCCAGGGAGGGGCAGAGAATATTAGCCCCAGTTCAAGACCGGAAGAGATTCACTTGAAAGGAACGGCCCTAATTTACCCAAATCACACAGCGGGTCAGGATAGGGCTGAAACGGGAGGCGGAGTCTCAAGGCTTCATGGGGAGGGTACTGTCCACAGAGCACACAGCCCGCTGGCCAGTGTAGGGGAAAGAAATGTGCACAATACCGGGGATCCAGGGGCCCCATTCCACCAGGAGAGCCTCCTGCTGCCCTGGGGAAGACCTGAAGGGATGAGTTCTGCTGGCTGGTGCACAAGCCGAGCCAGGACAGGAGTTCAAGCAGGAGACAGAGGCAAGAAAACTGGCCACGGAGCATGCGCATTAGAGAGGGAGCGATCAACAACTGCTGCAGGGTGGGGTCTGTGCTGCCTGCTTCCTGCCAGTCCCAAGGGGCCTGAGGGAACTTGTGTGCCCACATGGGGCTCAGAACCCTGCTGCCCTCACTAGCAGGGTCTTGAGAATCACCCATCTGGTTTTGGTTTTTTTGTTCTTTGCAGGGAGGTAACAGGAATTGAACCCAGGGTGTTCCACGTGCTAGGCAAGTGCTGTACCACCAAGCTCTATCCCCAGCCCCAGGGTGTCTTCTGGGGAGAAAGGCATGCTGGTCAAGGGGGCATGGACCTAGTGCCAATGACTGAGTCCACCTTCCAGAGGCCAGGAGGGTGACCGTAGGCCAAGGTTATTGCTAAACTGGCCATGCAGTCTGATAAGGAATTCTAGTTATCCCAGTTATGTGTTCACCGTTCAGCCCTGATTAGAAAAGAAAGCCTGAGGATGTTCCACCAGCAGATCAGGCCCACTCAGTGTTCACTTCTACCTTGCCTGCCCCAGCCCTGTCTCTGGCTCCTTTATTCTCCAGCCCAGGACAACCTGGTTTTCCCAGAAACCTGGCTTCCCAGCACTCTGTGACTCTGTGACCTAAGAGATCAATTTCTGCTGGGCATAAGAGTGCACACTTCGAATCCCAGCAGTGTGGGAGGCTGAGGCAGGAGGGTCACAAGTTCAAGTTCTGCATAGGCAATTTAATGAGAAATAAAAAGTTAAAAAGAGCTAGGGAAGTAGCTCAGTGCAAAGGCTTTGGATTCAACCCCCAGTACTGGGGAGAGAGAGAGAGAGAGAGAGAGAGAGGGAGGGAGGGGAAGCCTGAACCCAGGTCCAAGATCTAGCTCTGCCTTGACCTTACTATGTTGTTCTGTGCTGTGGTCTCATCTGAGAACTGGGGCTAATAAAAGCTGTCTGGGTCCGTTTTAGCTCAGCTGTAGGGATTTTAGACAATAATGAGGGAGGTGAGGCTGCCTGAGGGTTGCTGCACACAGGTGCAGAAAGCAGCAATGCCGGGGTCCAGGAAGTCGCTCCTTGCTGTTGCTGCAGGGTGACTCATGTGTGCCTCCACTGGTTCCGTTCATCAGAGGATCTGGCCCAGGCCCAAGGAGGGCCCTACCAGCACAGCCCTGTTTAGAGCAGGTTTCCTGGCAGCCAACGAGCAGTGGGCAGGTCTGACCTGTGAGAGCCCAGCAGTGGTTACTGCCCGGGGCCAGGGCTGGTTGCAAAAGGGACCAGGGCTCCTGACACAGTCTGCGCTGGGTCTCACTCAAGCTGGTTCCCAGGAGAACGGGAGCACAGAGAGGGTGCGTCACCTCTGCCCTGGGCACCTCTCTGATCCCGTGGGGAAGGCCGGGATGCCAGATCTTCAGGCATGCGCGTACTCACACTTCAGTCCAGATCCAGCCTGCTCACCCACGCAAGATGCTCATGGAGCACCCCCAGCAGATCCACAAGACTGAGCACAGACGAAGACACGCAGCCCCCAAAACCAGCCCCACCTAGATGCTCATACACAGGCACAGACACCAACACACATTCCCAGACACACATATATGGTTGTGTATAACACACATTACTATGCACACACAGACACACACCAATTTTCTCGTAGAGCCTCCTGCTTTTACATAGATTCCAAGACATGCACATATGGGGACTTGGTCAGGTCTCCAGAAAGGCAACACTGTTAATACACAGCACAACATCAGGGACCCACGAACACAAACACACACACACACACACACAC